AAAAAAAAAAAAGTGACAACATTATCAGACCATGGGATGAACTAGAAAACCATCAAAATTGCTCTCTTCAACCTCAAAACCACTCATAAAAATTTCTCTATATATACACTATTGCATCTTTATTTTACTCTCAATTCTTAAAAACAAACAAAATCACACTAAAAATCTTCTTCCAAAGCTATCTTTTTTTCTCAAGCATTTTTAAATCAAAGCAACAACAACAATGGCTTCCTATGAACAAAAGCTAGCCCTTGCCAAACGTTGTTCTCATGGTACCTATTATTATTATTATTATTATTATTATTATTATTATTATTGTCTATAATTTATTTTTAATTATTTTTCATTTATTCAGTAATAAATTTAAATGTGGCCTTGCAGAGGGTGTAATTGCAGGAGCTAAAGCAGCAGTGCTTGCCACAATTGCCACAGCCATCCCAACTGTAAATTGTCCCAATTTTTTTTTACCAAATAAAATATGTACAATTAATTTTGTGCTTAATTTAATTTATATATATGGGAAAATTAAATAATAAATTAATAAGCTGCAAATTAAATTAAATTAAATTAACTTGCAGTTGGCAAGTGTGAAGATGGTGCCATGGGCAAGAGCCCACCTGAACCCCACCGCACAGGCTCTCATAATCTCCACTGGTAAGTACAGTTACTTCTTAAATCTTGTAAATTAATATTATAAACTATTAATATATATAGTGAAATGCTACGGTCAGGAACCATTCCGTCGTCGTTTGTGTTAGATCATCATGTAACCGTCAAGATAGCTGATCTAAGGGTTACAAACCCTGACAAAATGGTTCCGTAACGAGACCGTAGCGTCTCCAATATATATGTGACTAATTAATTTGTTATTATATTAATACTATGTTATAAATAATTTTTCATCAGCGGCTGGGATGGCTTATTTCGTAGTGGCTGACAAGACCGTGCTTGCAACTGCACGCAGGAACTCCTTCAATGGCGCCGACAAAAGTTACTAAAATTAATGTAGCAATCAATATATTAATATTGTTTGGACTTTGGAGTATGATCAGTTTTATATTAATCACAGTTTTATATTAATCACTTTTAACTTCAATTTGGGGAAAATCAAGTATGTACTTACTATGTAGTAGTGGGACATTGTCTTGTCCAACAAATCACCATGTAGAAAGTTATAAATAAAAATTGTCATTCTCTATCTCTTTGATTTATTATTATTATTATTATTATTATTATTATTATTTATGTATGTGTGTGCGTGCACGTATATCGAGAATCGTCTAAATATGTAAAAATATTGTTTAAAAAAAAAATGTCATTGGTGGAGAATTCCACCGACAACACCTAACCAAGAACATCTTTATCAATATATTGACAGTTTACACACACAAAATTTGAGGTTTGTCAATCCAATTTGATTATGTAAATCAAAACCTCATATAAACGCAAGAATATGAAAAGAAAAACAAAAGCTAGCCAAAATGTTGAAAGCGTAATACAAATCATTGATGTTGGAATATTTGGCCCAAGTCAAGTCCATATCTCAGGCCTAAGGAACCCACGGCCCAATTCCAATCAATCTGGGCTTGGCCGTTACTCACTTAAGTGGCTTGGATGACTCGTGACAGTTGGATTTAGGGATTAAATTCGAACCATCCATCTTACACCTTAAATACCCTATTTTTCTCTTGCCTGAACAGATAAGATCACTCTCACTCTCCTCTCTCTTACTGTTGCATGAAAATCTCTCTCTCTCTCTCTCTCTCTCTCTCTCTCTCTCTCTCTCTCTCTCTTTGAGAGAAACCCGATCGATCTCCCATTCTCTCCCTCAGTTCTTCGTGACCTTTTAGAGTGTGTGAGAGGCAAGTTTCGCCTTTGCGTTGTCACTATGCCACCCGCGCTGTCGCCCAAACTTAACTCGTCGGCTAAAGCCCTTGCGTTGGGCTTCCGACGAATCACTGTGTGAAAGGAGGGGTTTGGCGATCGAGTGGCCGGGTGCGTGGCTTGTGAGTGAGGCGTAGCCCGGGAAACGGGTTGAGGAACCGGGGTCGCCGTTCGTTGACCACCACCGAGCCGTGACTTAACTGAAGGTGCCGAATTCAAGGGCGATCTGAGCCTGAAGACTTAGAGTCTACATTATCTAGGGCTGAGCATGAGACTCGGAGAATTTCGAACTGTTCCCAAAATCGAACCGAAATCACTTCGAACCAAAAAATAACCGTTGACCGTTTGACTTTCTCCAAACCGAACCGAACCGAAAAATAATTGGTACGGTTCTGGAGGTTTCACAAATATCCGTACCAAGAACCGAACCGAAGAACTGAATTATAACATTAGATGTGTTATTAATATATTTTATGTCAATTTGATCCTATATATATATAATATAGTATTAACTATTAACCTTCACTTAAATTTCATGCTTAGTAATACTTGATTTACAATTAAATTTTTTCTATTATAAAATAATTATTTAAAATAATATGAAAGTTTAAAGAATATTTTTTAAGAAAAAAAATTATATTTTGTTTGAATTTTAAAATTTCAATATTAGTTGCACAAATTTAGTCTTAACTAAAATTTAGAGTTACTTCTAAAGTTGATTTCAAAATAAAATCTTTAATATGAGGAAGTATTGATGAATGTTGGTTTTATTAAAGCATATAAAAATTAAATAACTAAAATTTAGAGTTACCTCTAAAATTGATTTCAAAATAAAATCTTCAATATGATGAGTTATTGATGAATGTTGTTTTTTTAAAGCATATAAAAATTAAAATATAACTAGGTAATCATTCAAAAAAAATTAAAAAATAAGAAATCTTCGAAGATCCGAACCAAACCATACTGAACCGAACCGTCCCAATAGTCTCGAATACCGAACCGAACCGAACCGAAAAATAAAAATATCCAAACCGAACCGAACCGACCTTTTGGTACGGTTTCGAAGATCAAACTTTGGAA